GACCTAAATATAGTCCTTAAATTTAGAGACTTTGGGAGATAAATTATCCTTTCATGCTACATTGTGACCTACTTATTATCCAATAATATATTTTATTATCAGTTTGAAAACATATCTTTCGAATTTTTTGTTTTCTTTGACTTTATTTACAAACACGTGTAGGCCTGAACATCAGCCTCTTATATTTGATCACGTGACAATATTGACATAATTCTGGTAAAATATGTCTGTCATTTATTACCGTGATTTGTTGCAGAGAGCTAGCTTTCACTTTCACGGATAAAGATGTGGGCGTATAAATAGTGCCTTGGTGTTCGGTTGTTCCCGTCCGCTACAAGCTTATCATGGCTACAGATGGATTATACTTCTTTTCAAATTTAAATTGAACTTGACATAAGTTGGATTGTACTTGTATTTGGTGTAAGTAGGATTATACTTGTACTTTGTATCATTTATACTCTACTTGGGTTGAGTTAGATTAGTCCTGTACTTGGTATCAGTTTGATTATACTCTTGGTATCAGTTTGATTATTATCTTGGTATCATGATTTCTTTGTACTTTTCAGTTATATTATGCCTGTACTTTTGAAAAGTTATATTATGGTTGTACTTGATGATATTTAGATATCAATAGGTCTTGGTTTCAAATTGATTTCGTTTATTTCGTGGATGTTAATTCTTGACTTCCTAATTAACAGACTTTTATCAATTATTTGACTCATCTTTTCTTGAGACTCTGTCATATATACAAAATAGATATACAATGTGAAATTCCTATTTTTGAAGGAAATAAGCGATTTTTCGTACATTTGTAGTACTTTTGCAGAAAATAGCGAATCTGTACCTTTAAAATGTTAAGATATAACTGGTTACATAAGTATGTGAGGAATTGGCAAGGAAGTCGCCTTCATGTCAAAATATGCAATCAGAGGAAATGTCGTTTTTATGCCTTTATAATAAATGCGATTAGATATAAAAATTCACAACAAACAAACTGGTTTATTAAAAGAAAGTAAATAGTATATGTGATGAATAAAACTTAGTATGTTGAATTCATCGCTTGATGTCAACATTTCATGACAAAATGAATTATAGTTGACAAGTGATGTATTGGTTGTTGTCTACGTATTATGTCACAAGCATTTTCATTGGCCTATTGTCTATTTTCATCATGATGAAATGGAATTCATTGCCTATCATTGGCTGATGAACCACCGAATCGCATACTCAGAACTGATGTGACGCAATGAAAATGAACTAGTTTAAATAAGGTACATCGAAGTTCACCCAATCATATAGCGCCTAAATAGGTTATAGTTTTGTTTTGGTCTTTTAATAGCAAAGAATTTTGTTATATATTGGAGAAAATCTTGTTAAAATGTATTCATTGATGCAAAATGTTTTAAGCTGCCGACTTCAGATAAACATGTAAGTACACTACACAGATATGACATATATATTCGGTTAAAATATCAGTTAAGATAGTGTTATTAACAAAGTGCCATTTACGCTTGTCTGGATTACTCCAATCAACTGTAGATATGGTAGGAATTCTTCTTACATCTGATGTCTTCGTATAGGCAATACCACGGACAAGCATAGAACGAAAGAAACTATTTACCTTATTGTATTCAGCGGAATTGTTTTTTTATATGGAGTTGTTTTGCTGTGAAATTGAAACAACGAAAGGGTTCTGTTCACCCTTGTCCATATTGGAAGAGGTCTAATGTCTGCAACCAGACAATATTGCCGACAATATAGTGAAATATATCAGTTTTTGAAACAGTCAAAGTGGCGTTTTCTGAACGTTTCTTCAGTGGAATTACAGATGTTATTATGTGTGTTACCTACCAGTAACAGCAATTGCTTTGGCAGTATTTATTTTGCTCTATCAGTTCAATGAGTTCAATAGACTACTTTCATTTTCTGTGGTAGGAATCTAGTCTACTGTGCTCATTAACTGTTATTTGTGCTATTGCTTCAGAGTGGAACTGGTCTTATATTCTTTGCTATTGTGCTAGAAGTAAGTCAGCTAGCTATCTTCGTTTCTCTATTATCACTATTGTGATAAAGAACCAACTTTAGATGTTACACATCCATCTGCATCTAAGATAACTTACCACAGATGAATAGGTTCCCATTGTCACTTTCTAAATAGAATTTAATGGTAACGAAAAGCTGGAGCATTACATGAAATGGTGAAATATAAGTTTCAAAATTCAAATTCCTCTTTTGAAAGACTTCTGTAGCCTCTGACCCATAATCTTCAGATTCATGGTTTTTTCTTCTGAAAGACGACTGCACTGGATTTCCTTGTTTGTCACACTGAATTAGATATTGAAATTATTTCATTTTATTTCCGGTTGTCGATTGTCCCCGTGTTTTAACTTTTGTTGTTAACATATATCATGTTGTGACGTTTCACTCAATATTCCATAGAGTAGTTAAGTGGCCTCCCTTGGTTGTATTATGAAGTATCAAAACTAAAACAAACTTGTTTATTAAAGCATAAAGATAAGTTTCTGATACAAAACAGAATGTATGCACATGACATTTATCACTACCCAGAAGTATACAAATCGTTGGTAAAAGAAACATAGGCTGTATCTTATCTCGATGGAACCTTAGTGACTCTGTAAGCGTTGACACTTGACCTTTAGATTTCAGATTTGAGTCTTCACAGACCCGAATCCTCTTAAAAATTCCCAATGTCTAATCTCTATGATAATCACCGATACCGTTTTCTGAATTTGGAATTATGGTTTTGACGATAAGCTTTGCATGTTGGTCCAATTGGTTAAGACTTTCTCTGTTCTAGTTCGGCTTTTGTTTTGTTAGTCACGCAAACTATGCGACGTAAAGATCTCTTTTCAGACTAAGCATATGCATCTGAATCACGTTTGCAGTCTTTAAATAGCATACGTATCATATTCGACAATTAATCTTGCAAGATAAAATATTTATCAAGGTTTTCAATGATTTAATATAGATCTAGTCAAGCGAGAAATATTATTAGCCAATGAAAAATTCGGCTTTCCCGGATACGCTTTAGGTTGACAGTCAATGGTATTTGTTCTACTGACTTAGTCATATAATTTATTTCGTAACAGTTATGGATGGTTACTATGAAAAGATATGATACAGTTAGATTATACAGGTTCTCAGGACATATATTCAGGTAGTTTTTGTGTGACGATGTTGTTTTGTTTTGACACTATTGCTGTATGGAGCAGTATTGCATGGATATGAAAAATTTGAAACTGCATTTACAGAATAGATGTATAATTCAACGTCTCGTTGCTCTAAAGAAAGAAGCGTGATATTTTATGTGAATACGAAATAGAAATATGTTACGATATGAATTGTTTGTGTCCATATATGGACGTCTGTTTTGTGATTTTAAAGATAAGACTTCAGTACTGGTTGAAAATTCAGATTCAGTATTTTTCAAATTTGCTCTTGTGTAACGACCGACAAATTCTTGCAATTTCTTTTTAATCGTCTGAAATACTATTATTTCGTAACAATAAAGATATTATTATTTCACCGTAGAAATAAAGAACGTACTTGCCTACTAACATTATCACCGCCTTGCAATTGAAATGCAATCTGTAAATTGGAAGCGTCCGGTATTAGATCGAAAGTAATGAAATAACATTTTAATAAATGTTGAGGAAAAGGTTAAATAGGTTCTCAAAAAGCATTGGCTGAAAATGCTGAAAACATAAAAACAAGGAAATCCTCGTGTAAATCATGGGTATTTTCTACTCTTTTCAGAGTTGAAACTACGACTATTGTCGACAACAGGGAACACTCGAGTTTTAAACGTAGAGCCACTTGAGAACACAATGCCTTCAGCTAGTCCACTATATAATAATGTAAGTACATATCATTTACATTTTGGCTCTATTTTAAGTGCCTACTCAGAAGCACAATATCAATGCAGTATCACTCAAACTTTCTTCCTATAGTGACATGCTTGCATAAATAACTGTACACGATTGATTCAATATTAGACATAAAATATCAAATTTTATAATTTTTTCAGAGAAATCATTCAATTGTACAACAATTGTACTCCGAGATATCACGATTTTTTGCACAATAACGTACTGCATTGGGTTTTTCTTAGAGCCGCGATGGAAGAAGGAAAATTTCATGTTTAAAAACACGAATCCATTGAATGACTTTAATGAAGAGAATATACAATTGAAGCCAAGCATTAGTTTTTTTTAGTTGCGGGATGATGGTTTGTTTTCCCTTTTATATATTATTACTTATTATTTTTGAAATATGAATTTCTTTTTTTTTTAAATTCATCATCTTCAGCATCAGCATTAGCTGCATCTTTACGTCTTCCTCGTCAACGTTTTTATTTATGTTTTCAGTTTAATGGAATAAATAACGAGTTAGATTGCCAATACAGGATTCCGTCCACAGACTCACACCAAGAAGCCAGATTTCCCAACGGATACGATTCCTTACAATCACTTAGTGCCATGGCTGATCAGAGTTTTTCTGGAATATTTTCATCTCAATCACAGAGTTATTCTTCACACATACCAGTTACGTCATATCATAATACACAGACTGCCACGTCATCGCCTTCCACGTTCTTTTCTACGTCAGAATACCCGTGCATGTACAATACGAACAATAATAATACTGTTAATAATAATATGAGCAATCCTCGAAGATCATATGATGCGTCCTCTGATGACAGTTCCTACAATGAAGGATTAACTAAAAAGGAATTCCATGGTTCTAAAGAAGAATTTTACAATGGTAAGATTTGTTTCCAAATGGAATGTTACGCATTGAAATGAAATTATTTACAAACGCATTGCATATCATGATTCACGGCAGCTCAGGATAATTGTAAATACTATCAAAATCTTGATTGTCTCTTACGCACAGACATAATTTTACCAAGGTCGTTCTCTTGTAAGTCTCATATTTTCATTATTTCTGTCATTTTAGACCAGGATCAACTCTTAAGTTGGACCAGAAAACATCCCGAAAATTGGAATTCAGAGGAAGTATTAGATTGGTTAATCTATACAGGACAGGAAAAGGGATTAAATATGTCCGAACTTAGAGCTGAGGCCTTCCAGAATATTTGTGGAGCAGAATTATGTAGATTGAGTATGGACGAATTCAGAAATCTAGAACCAAAATATGGAAAATCACTGTATGAAATGTTGCGAAACTTGTTATCGGGAAGTGAGTAATGTTTTTTTTTAGCAGTTTTCTTTCGCAGCTGCATTTATCACATTGTTTTTAATATCATACTATACAGCTTCTCATTATTGACTTGTTATTGTATTAATGACTTGCTTGACTTCATACATTAACAATTACTTGACACGTTACTGTAACTGTTACTTACTTGTATGAATTTTGCATGAAAATAACTTATTTGTATGATTTGCCGCGTACATGGTTCTGTAACAGTTTCTTAATGATTTGAATTTGTTCTGTTAACTACAACTATTGTTACTTCTACAAGATAAAAAAACAACTATTGTTACTTTGAACAATTCTTTACTGACACTTACTGACTTCTAACAATTACTTTATTGTGTGATTGCTTTACAATTTACTTAGATGTATGACTTACATATTTGTGTGAATCTCTATAGTAACAATTACTTACTTGTATGAAATCGTGTAATAACAATATATCACTTTGTACAGTAACAAATAACGTAATTTGAGCAATTAGTAGATTAAATCCACATGAAGTATTTTCAACTAATGTCCTTTATTATATACCCAAATCTGGCTAATTTAAACAGCTTGCATAAACAAATCGATGTTTTTCTCTTTAGTTATCTTCAACAAACCCAGTGATTTATCTTCCGGTGATTATCAAGAGTTGTCACCCTTCAATAATCCTTCCTCGTCTCCAGTCAGAAGTCAGTATGGTAGTCCCACATTCTATACCATGACCAATAGAAAACAAGAAAGTCAGCATTTCAATAATGGTATGTATTTCCATGTTTGTATTCAAGTAAAAGAACGTAACTCCTCTAGAAATATGACAATTTTTGACGTCGTGGATAAGAAAGTCAAATCTATAGAAATTTCGAACATAACCCAACCGGCGACTGGTAGGTCATAGAGGTTTGATTTGCTTCATGATATTCCATAGTTGTTTTAATGAACATGTGTGGTATAAACATGTTTAAATGCTTTATTTCTAGGTTATTCGAATACCGAATCGTACAGAGAGGCCATGCCGTGTGATATGATGAATATGGATAGTTATGATTATGATATAAATGATCATCCTGCAGTTCCACCACCAAACAGTGAGTATTTCTGTCACATTTCATTTCTATAGCAAGCCTGTAGCTACAAGGGGGCACCCACACCCTCTGCAAATTGCCGAATATATTACCAGTCCCTATGAACAATCAAGTCTGGCTACGAGACTGCACTTTAATAAAGACCGTTGGATTTGAATACAGCGTTATGTTTCTCACGTTCTTCATATACTGTTTGTGAATCATAATCAAGGACTTTGACATTGATTTTATTGAGGCATCAGTGGCATTTTTATCTAATGTTTCAGTGGCGGATCAGTGCAGTCCTGACTTTGGAGTAATTTCTGGTATGATGGGTGGTTACCCTAGCTCTGTTCCTATGAGAACAGCATGTCGGTATCCTGGTAATAACTACACACCAGCTATACCAAGGCGGAGACCAGGTCGTCCACGGAATAAGACCGCCCCGGGAGAAGAGGACACTCGAACGAATAAAGAAAAGAAAGGTATGTATACGAGACTTATAGATAAGGAAAGAAATAGACACGACTCAAACAGTGAGATAGACATCCGACTAGAATTCCATTTGCCCTTTATAATGCATTACAAAGATATAGGATTTGGATAAAGTAAAGACAAACCAACTTGAGCGAGAAAGACGTTCTACTAGAATCCAATTTATCCCGTATATTGATTTCGATAGGTATACGTCCTGATTGTAAATTTGGGATATTCCCTTTTTTCATTTACATACACTCGTCATATACATTTATCTCAAAACACATACGGCAGCTATGAGCAACCCGACAAAGTTCTGATAAAGTATTTGAAAACTCTTCCAACAACAACAGCTTTGTAAGCTCTTCAATGAATACGAATGTTAAATTTCAATATTCATGGTGTCAATTTTTTTTATATGTCAATTTTCAGCCAAAAATCAACATCTATGGGAGTTTATCTTCGATTGTCTGGTGAATCCTGCTTATAATCCTCAGTATTTACGATGGGAGAACCAAAGAGATGGTGTTTTTAGATTCGTCCAGTCGGAAGCTGTAGCTCAATTATGGGGTGGCTTCAAAAATAATGAAAACATGACGTATGAGAAATTGAGTCGTGCAATGAGGTTCGTAAAATTTATTTATGTTGAGAACCCCTACTGCCCACGACTTTTTTCGAGGACTGTTTCAATTTCTTATTTTAGGTATATGTGCACATATTTGTCCGAGTGTTACTTCTAGTCAAGGGGAGATGACTTCCATGTTTCCCGAGTTCTGTATCTCGCACTTCAGATTCTTAACTTTTGCTTTATTTTATTTCAGACATTATTATAAACGTGGTATTTTAGAGCGAGTCGAAGGTAGACGTTTGGTGTATAAATTTTCTCGTAAAGCAATGGACAGAGCACGTGAGAAACGTCACATTACTTTATGAGAAGCAAGCTGAACATATCATGAACATACCTGAGAAATAAACAGGCCATGGTTAACAATGACAACATGGTTTGAAATGTGATAAAGCTTTGATAAGGTATGCCTTACGTGTCTGGTCGGTGCGGTGTTGTTATTTATAGATTTGTGGAGATGTGACAAGCGTAACGGAAGGACAATTAATGGATTGAAGCTGTATGCTGAGGCTGAATGTACTGATTCGCCAGGTTAAAGCCAGGTGTCGCCTTTATTGTTTCTCCACTAAAGACTTCAAACGGAACCTCCGTTTCAAGAAGGAAACAGCTGAATGTTTTTTCTTAATAGTGATAATAATATAATATATGAAGCTGATTCAGTAAGCTTTCCTTGGACTATGTATATCCGTTAATTACACCGTAAATTTGGTCTCGCAATACGGCTTTTAGAACGATCAATAAATCATTTGTGCAATCTCTACTAGAAGAAATACAGTCTTGTCAGCTTTATCATAACTGTGAACATAAACAAATAATATTATTGATAGAATGAATAAATTATTTTTTGAATGAATAAAATGACTAGTCATATCATTGAATATCGTGTAAATATGACATTATACATAGATTATTTATCTTATTTATTTGTATTATTTGTATTTGTGTATGTTTTGAACATAACAAAATCCTCGTTGAATAGAAACGCCTCTTTTAATTCTGTTAATTTATTTATATGAAATTTTCTTTTTAAGTCAAAATTAAAAACTAGCAAATAATTTCTAAGTGGACGTCACATACTTCAGAAATAGCTCAACTACTCATCTTATATAACGAATACCCGATTTTTGTTACTTGTTCGCTAGAATTTAGGCAATATGGGGCCTTATTCTCGACAACTTAACTTATGATGATTTTAGTGTTTCAGTCGTCTGAATGGTCAAACTCAAAATAGATTGTTAATTAAGTTTTATTATCTAATCAGATTACTGTAGTTCCTAAAATCTGAACTTTTTGAGAATATGGCTGCTGGAATTATCCTAGTCTATAAATAAAAAGAAACAAAATTGGAAATTTTTAAATCACAGACCAGGTTTGCCTTACATTCCATTTCAACATTCCAGCTTCAAAATATTTCATTTTTGAACAATTTTAAGAATTAAAAGGATAATAAATAATTTATTATATAAGAATGAATTTTTAAAATTCATATTGAGAGTAATCATGACAAAAAATATTTATTTTTTAAATTATTTTATATTTATGCGTTACTTTCCTTACATTAAAAATGTACCCAATGATCATACCATATTCATAATAACTGCCAAAAATCTTTTTTTTTAAGATCATTTTTCTCGAATTTGTCAAGTGCTATTTATATAACCTATATTTGACGTTTTTCCATCACCTTTTGTGCCTTTCAGTAATATGAAAAATTTGTTATAAAGGTAGAAGACTTAAGAAGCTAAAAAGAATCAATTCGAAACAACAGTTTTTTTGGATATAGACTTCTATTTATTTCTTTATTTCTATATCGCTTAACAATAATTGATGTATTGAGCATTGTTTTAACAGAATATAGTTTAACAGTTGATGTATTGAGCTCTGTTTTAACAGTTGAATATTTTATCATTGTATTTCTTTTAACACTTACATTTAATTCTAAAATGTTTAAGAAATTTAAAAAAGATTCTTCTTAGCATATTCCGACTTCATTAGCCCACAAGGTGCAAAAAAGTAGGACATAAAACTCCATTCGTTTCATTTCATTTCTTAGCATATAGCCTTTGTGTATCTAGGACACCTCTATTGTGACCATTCTTAACTCCTACTGAACGTCTGTGGTTTATGAATTACTTTCAATAAAACGATTATGGCGTGCAAACAATTCAATTCAAATGGTACTTGCAATTTCCTTTTTTATATTAGATATGCAAGAACCACATACATTGGGCGGAAAATTGCAATATTGCACATAAAATGAGATAAACCTAAATCTAAGGGACGGTAGATTACATTTGTTTACATAACATAACAAAAAGTAAATTGTCTATTCTAAGAATGTATCGGATTTTTTTTCTTCATGCCTTAAACATTTGCTTAGACATATCAGGATGCCTTGAAATTGCCATGTTATCATTTATGCCTTGTTCATGATGCTATGCTATAACGCATATTTGAAAAGAAAGCATAGTTTTGGAGTTTTGTTATCGGAAATGTTTGCCAAAAAGTACGAAATGTTATGAAAATATATTTCGAATCAAACTGTATTTTATAATGGAATCAAAGATCTGTTTGAAAACATGCTGGTGCCTTTACACATGCTATTCCTTAAAAATTAACATATTAAAAGTTGTTTTTGTTTTGTTGATAAGATTATAAAGTTTAATGTTATTTTAAAGTTGTTAAATTAAACATATATTTTGATAATTGTTAATAAAATGTTTGCAGTTGTTTGGTCTAAAATGTGTTACTGTATTGATTTTAAAATATCTTTACTGATATATGAATAACTAAAATGGGGGCAGGGTTCCAAATCTGACATAAAACCGTCAATCTTTTCAGTGTTGTACTGTCTTAAATCATATTTCATGGGATTTAATTTTAAATTAGGGTTGTTGTATTAAACAATCTGATTTTACAAAGTTATGACCATTTGAATCTTTAGGATGGCACAATACACAGAGGTTTTCCCAAAGCTATTCACGAAAAATCTGAAATTTCAACAGGATATACAAGAATTTGGAGTAGGCCAGGAAATGAAGAGAGAATGTGGACAGATCAACTTGAAATTAAAAAAAAAAAAACAGAACGATCAGAATAAATCACATGTTGGTGATCTGCTATAAATGGACACAACCCTATCCACATCCCAAGACTCTGGATGAAATTCAGTTTAAACACAAAAGAAGAAAGAATCGTTCTACCAAAAATAAAATCAACAATATCAGCATCAACAGCATCAAAACAAAATTTTAGACATCGAATAAATAACAATGTTTTACCAGATAAGCCATAACCAAAATATATACATTATACCATTCAACACAGCACCAAGACTAACAAAAACATCTACTTAATGTGAAAAGTAACACCTTTACTCAAGATTCTCGAACTCTGTCGACGAATTTTAAATAAAAGGATATTGGAAATTGACGGCTTCAGATAAAAGTCAATTTCCTTGGAATCAAGTTATCAAGGGGATAAATAATAATATATAGTTCAAGTATTATATTTATACAAAAACATTGAGAGTTATTGTTCTATAATTATCTTCATAATTAATGTATTGTCTTATTATAACCTTATTTGCCCTAATAATTCCTATTACAGCTTATCTTTTAACAGTAGATAACCTGGATGAGACGACACTTCAAAGCCGTAACCAAGGTCTCTTTTCTTTGAAGGAAAGGTCTTGTTGTCTTCATCGCAATGCCTGTAGCATTTGCCTCATTTGCCTTGATGTAGTTACATCGCTGAACTATTATGCATTGTATTTTAAGTATCTTTATCTTCAGGTGGTTATCGGTTACCGTTTGTCTTTAAAGAAAAATCATCCCCCAGTCATCCTTAATTCAAGGAATCTCTCACACCGAAAACAAATTAAATTAAACAATCCCACGTTTTTGAGAATATTTCATTAGAAAATGTTTGTTTCAGATGGTCGCGCAGTGGCAGATGGTCTGGAAGAGTGAGTATGCTATGGCACTATCTATATATATTTATTTGAGTAGAGCTCAACTTTAATAAAAAAAAATCTCGGATCCAAGAGCCAAAAGCTAATGGGTTGAAGAAATGACCTCTGAGACAACCTTGTGCACCAGCATCAAATTATTGAATCGTACGTAAATATATCATATAAACTATCTTGAAGGGATGTCAAGTTGACAAACCCAGAGGCATACTGGCATTGATATAAGATCTATCATTCATATTTGATTTAAGTTGGCGTGTGTTTCCTTGAGTGGCATACCTTCTTCCAATAACGAACGTCTTTCTTTAAAATATATAATAGTATACAGCCAGTACACAATGATTATAGTAACAAGACAATCATGACGGCCTTTTCACTGTTCTGGAAGTTGCACTGGATATATCTGTTAGATTTGGTTCATTTTGCAGGTGGGAAGTAATATAATTTAAGAAGTTAAATGGGACCCGAACACAGTTTGACCATTTCTTAATATAAAGTCAAGGTGCATTTAAACTTTACTGCATTTTGAAATAGTATTTAATGAAACGCAAATTTCTTGGGAAAAAGAGCCAACACATAGTTTCACTTAAGACAGGCGAAACATCTCTCTATATATGTTTCGATATGTTTGGCTTTTATAGTTTAGGTAGGGCCTACACTAAATGGGTTAAAATTGTGGCTTTACGAAGCGTTTTGCAAAGTATTGATAAGAATGACCCTGTTTTCAAAATTTTTAACAGTTAATTCATTTATAATGAATAATTCCATACATTTTCGTGAAAATCCAAACATAAGTTGACCTTTCTGCTTTTAACAACTGTTGTAGAGCTCTGGATACAGTCAATCTTAGCGACCGACAAATGAAAAATCACAGTTGCCGTCTGATTCTTTGAGGAGAAATGTGGATTTAACATGAAATCATGACTTATTCCTTTATTTTCAGAATGTGGAACGTTTTTTACCAAAGCTTTACGTGAAGTTTCCTATATACAGAATGTTTCAGAACAAAATCATTTGGTTTTCGCCCTAAAATCTGATCCGCAAAGTGTAGTCTATTTATATAATGATGTATTCAAAACGGGGGCAGTAGCCATGGGAAAGGGATCCAATCCAAAAATAATCTTTTTTGCAATAGATTGTGATTACCCAGAACACCTACACACGAGCGATTTAGCAACTCCAACAGAATATTCATGGTTATGGATAAAGTGGACAGGGACACAGCTAAAATTTGGTACAGGGAAAACTCCTGGTGTGGATTTGGTATACTCTACCCCCTTCTCTCATGATGTTAAGTATATTGGTTTTGCAAAGTATGGCAGAAGCACTGAATCTCATTGGATAGTTGGTCAGACCAATGAACACATGAATGGTAAGTCATGATCTTAATTTTGGGCGATTTTTTATATCATGTCTGGATATATGACGCTATAATATTGATATTCGGCTCACGTGATAACCTGTTTGTCTGGTTTTATGGTGATATCTTTGATGATATTTGAGTTCTTGTGATAAGATGTCTGGTCTATCTTTGTTCGAATTATAATTATAACTTCTTATATTACAGAATCTGAATTTAAGAAAACAGAAGGTAGGCGAATTAGAGATACATCAAGCGCATACCATGTAAGCAGTTCTTTCCAATGCGCTGAATTCTGTTTGAGTCTTAATGGATGTTATGGATTCAACCTGTCATTAAAAGGTGTGTACTCATTTAAAATTAAATATAATAAAATGTCGAAAATACATTCTACTTTCATTTGTAATGGTACGTTCTCGTGTGATTTCTACATTTGACAATGTTTCGAACTTTTAGTAACAAAGATCTTGTAGTTGTCTGCAGCATATTTTTTCCCAGGGGAAAAAAGGTTGGTACATTCAGAAGATGGAAGCTATGTTGATTGAAGCTATGTGGTGCAGGCTTTCGCCTATAGTATCCTCTCCTTGGCCAAGCAAAAACACTACGAGTATCTTTCATTTGTTTTGAGAGAAGACATACCATTTCATAAGATAATCAAATTGATGTCTATCATTTCAGTGAATGGCTTTTCTGTTTGTGAGTTGATCCAGAAAGATATGGAATATATTATGTGTAATGATATCGACTCCTTAGATTGGACTGTGGAAGAAAATTCAACATGGACACATTATTATCTGTAAAACTTTTAACATTTTCCGTGGCTGATTTAAATAGCCGCCCGACACGGAAATGATATCTTCATTACGTAGGATAATTTCTAAATTTTAATGAAGCCTTATATCATATTAAGTTACATTTTAAGGACCACGAAAATCTTACTAAATAAAACCTGTCAGTCATAATTCCACGTGATTTTGAAATTCTTAACCATTTAAGTTATCAACTTAATAATTATTGAAAATTAACTAATGCTGTTTGTATAGACCGACGTCAACTTTCCTTTTCAAAGTTTCTTTTTTAATCTGGCTTATCCAGACGCTTAAAATATATGAAAAATGCATTTCATTGACATTATTATTTTAAAGAAATTGTAAGGAAGTTTTTTAGATTTGTATGTGTATCGGGGACATTGATAGCATCAATTTTCACCAATGACATTTGCAGTTAGACGTGTGCGGTTCCTGCATTTCCACAACCATATATGTGTTTGATGACGTCACTAATCACAGAATACGCTTTATCTTCGCGTTTTGATAACTTCACGAAACACTTAGTTTTAGTGGGATGGAACTACAGACGTCGAAGCATTTTACATCTAAGCTACTACTTCAAGGGTATTTACCAAATCGATTCAAAACCTGCCTTAAGAAATTTTACGGCCGCCATCATGAACTAATTGAAAAATATATGATATATGTTCCCGCTATCATTGCAGACAAACTTGTCATCACAATAGTAGGCTATGTTGAGTTGCCACCATATGATTCTATAATTTTACTAAACACTAGGTTTTGTTTTGCCTACCTATTTTATTTGTAGTATTTAGCAGCAATGACAGGTATGGTTTCAGGCAGGGTGTGCTTACTCCTCGGATCACTTGATGCCACTTTTCGTCATTAAATGTTTCCACATGAAATTTGGCGTTTGAACTATTGAAATTGGAGCATAGATGTTCTATTTATAAGTCTATGAATTGGAGATAAATGTATTTCCATGGTCGTGTATATTTCTGTCAGTTACTTCCCTTTAACTTTTTAATTTCGTCGCTATTTCTTCTGTAGGCTCGTTCTTATTTATTTTTTAGTGAACGTTGAGCAGCTATGACGAATGTGGCGCCAGGCAGGGTATGCTTACTCTTGTAGACACCTGATACTATTTTTCAATATGAAACTATATATTTTCAATATGTTAATAACTTATGATTGATGTACTTCCTCATGTGAAAAGTCCATTAGCTGCTACCAATATTTCGTAAAAATGCTATTACGGGTTTCGTTTTGCGGTTCGGATTGTTAGTACTTGGTTTATTTATCTACGGGCAACCATGTTAAGATAATATGATTATTCTGGTCAAAACTCCCATGACCATTACGTGAAACTTTCCACCACTCCGTAGATCACGATAGTCCAATTTTTTATTTGGAATTGACTATTCGCGGTTCAGCAAATTCGTAATTTTGTTCATCATAGATATATTGGCTATATATGGTGGACAGTTGATAAAATACAGCCATTTTTCCGCATGAAAAGGCTAAGTATACCTATGAGGTTTACAAAAACAGAGTGACGAGCCTGACAAATAGCTTTCAGGTGTGACCAACATAAAAGATCTGAAACGGCGAGAATATCAATTCTTAATAGAAATTTTCTAACTGAAAATTACATGGTTTTTACTGTTGAATGTATGCTGTTGCTAGAGAGGAAGACAACATGGAGGACGAATGAGACAGTGGCAAGTCACTGGGTCCACTTTTGACGAATATCACCAATTGGTGGGGCAACTATTCCCATATTAGGACAGGTTTTTCATAAATATGCCGACGTGACATTTTGATTGACAAACGCCTGGCGGATTACGCCAAGCATCAACGCTTAAAACCACTTCGGAGGGTCGCAGCGTCGGCAGTGTGTGGCGTTTTTTTAAAACACGTGTATGTGGACAAGGACCTATTGAAAAGCTATGTAGGGTTTCTCGGCGTTTTCACGCCATGTATTACGTAAAGTGAAAACGCGTAGGCCTATGTTGACATTTGTAACGAAAATCATGACAAAATGAAATTGAATGCTTACGCATTACACTAATCTATTATGTACGTCTATATCAGCAAACTACTTTTAGAAAAAGAACAAAATAAACCTGGCCACAATTTTCTGCCCAAAGCAGCCATTTTTGTCAAGGAATACAGAGCCTAAAACAGCGATTACAACGATGCAAAAAGCTGATTTCATCTCTCAAAATGAAAAAGTGAAATAAAAAAAAACACAACGCTGCGAGTGCAAAGAGTGAAATTTTGTTCAGTGGTATAAGCCTACTCTTTTTGAATCTAATCCAAATTCAATTTTCGAGAGATCTTTACTGTGCATCTTAAAGTACAGAGGATCGGGAATAAAGAACTTCTTTGAGGCTTATGGTTCCCAGTTGGTCTAGGTCATAAATATACTTAAACTTAAGTAAGAGACAGTGTGTCTCGGACTACTCTATTAAAGATAACAAAACATTGATTTCTGCACAAAAGGTATTAATAAAATATGTATCTGGAGTATGGGGAATAACAGGATTGGTCAAGCAATTTTAGATCCATTCTCGGCCCCCTCACCTAATGTTTTTTAGAAACGCCACTGATTCTATAATTGAACTGAAAAAATTGTCGAGATTATGTATGAAGTTGCATTCAATAATTGAATCTCTTAGATGTAAAATTATCGGTTGACAAAATCTCATTGTGACTTAAAAACTTGAAATTGATGTTATCTTACTTTGATCACAAAAAGAAATTGCGTTACGCACTTAATAAATAATACAAATATAAACACTCCACGATTTGTATGTCGAATTGTATTTGTTGTGTTGACAATTAGTGATTTTTAATTTGGGAAATTTTAGTCAAATAAAAATATAACGCGGGGACATAAAAAGAATTGTTAAATTTTATTTTACAGAAGGCAATTGTCAGTTAACCATTTCTCGGTATAAATTTCTTTATTAGGACGAAACCGTACATAAATAGATTTTACTGACATTTTGTGGTCTAAATTCGCACTGCTTATTAATCGAAATCACGCATAGACACGCTTATATATATTTTGATCAGATAAACAAGTAATTGACACTTGTTTGATCGACATCAGTAAAAATATAGATATTTATGGCAGTGGTTATTTACCACTGGCGTGTTTAGCGTGGTAAATAGCCATAATTAAGTACCCTTACAGCTATTGACCACGGCGTGGTCATGATTTGACATTCCATTCGGGAAAAACTCCTCCAAACTGCCTAAATATTCAAAATAACGATTTTGCATTCAAAAACTCATCAGGTTCATCAAAAATGTCGTGTTAGTTAATTAGTCAAAATTTACTTTTAACATTGTCAATGAATTGGAGAGCAGGCTTATTAAAAGTATATCTATTCAAAATATATTGAGGACTAATCTTCCCAAAACGATCGTTAGTCTATTTTGTTCGAGAATTATTTTTGAAAATAAATTCCGGCGTTTTATGCAATTTGTCTCATAACATTACTACGTTTTTACAAGTAATTTTAGTGGCGTATTTAGAGGGTAGTAGGGTAGAGTAGTATCAATATCTGTATCCTTACTAACCTTTACTACACACTACAGTCAAACGGTGTCAATATATGTATCCTTACTAACCTTTACTACATACTGCAGTCAAACAGTATCTATATCTGTATCATTACTAACCTAGACTACATACTACAGTCAAACACTATCAATATCTGTATTTTTTCTGACGCCTGGAAACAAATAATTCGGTTAGCTCAAAAGAGTGAGTCGGTCGATTCTAAGATAGTTTTTCATGCAATGTAACATAGGGTTCATCCTTGGGCGATGTTAAACATTTGGCAAAATCGCACCCATTACCAGTTCATTATATTCAACCCTTAGCCATACAATTCTTTCAAACGTTTTTGTTTTTGTTTTGTATACTGCTCTTCTTTAAGTGAAACAGAAAAGTACGACGTTAAACTCCATTCATTTCATTTCTTTAAGTGCAAATTAATAATTCCGTCCAAATCTGCCACGAACTATAATATTGTGTTCAAGCTTGAAATAGAACGCTTTTCAAAAAACAAGGAAAACTAGAGCTGTGAACAGCACTGAGCGTGGCCCGTGATACTTTGCCTGATAGCTGTAAGACTTTTTTGAACTTCGAATCCTCCCAAGCCCGGTGTTGACTCGACCACTTTTAGTAAAGAGCCAAGCTAAATGAAATGTTTTGTGAAAGGGTAAATTCAATCTTGTATCAATATAACTTATCGTATGGTTATTTTAATAGCTTCATGGTAGCTGTAATATACAGGTATGTGTGAAATGTGAACATTATGTGACGGAATTTCTTTACTGATATAAACATGATCTATAAGTGTCCCACCTTCAGTAGTGTAATGCTGAACAAGTTGTTGAAAACCAAATTTTTGAAAACAATTTAGTATAGACAAAGATATTTCCTCCAAGATATTTTGGTTGAAATCCCCCATAATAACATAGTCTGAACCAGATTCTTGTAATTCAACTAATAACCTTTCTAACATTGGGAGAAATAAATCTAATCGATAACCGGGTGGTCTATAGATAACAATTACGTTAATATTTTTATCCAAAATATTCAAAGCAATGTGTTCTATATTTAAAACTCCCAATTTTAAAATGTTGACATTTTTGTTTTGCTTATAATATACTCCTACTCCTCCGTGCCCCTTTTCTTTCAAAAATTTGAAATCTCTAGTGTCATCATAGCTGTTTGCTTTTATTCCCTCAGCCTGACTAACAAACTGTTGTGTGTATCTTGCAGATAGAGTTCTATTAATGGTACAGAAAAAATTCGAACAGGTTAATGTATCAAAAATTCACTACTCTATATGAGAGTATGTTAAATTATTGTAAGTGAAAATTAAAAAAAAAATTGAAAAAAAAGTTATTTTTTTAAGTGTTAAAAGATTACATAATCAGATTAATCTGTTGATAACCCAAACTACTTCACACCTGCATGTCAAAAG